CAGAAGCACCAGGGACAAAGGCCAACGGTGGTGGCGTGTACGTGCCTTCGTAGTACGGCATGTGCTGCGCTGACTGTAGTGAAACAGCAGGAACAGGATGGACGAATAATGGCGGCGATGCAGCAGGGCGTTTCAAAGCTTCTGCGTAGGTTGTCTCACGGCGGTATTCAGCAGGAGCTGGCACAGCTGTATCATGAGGCAAGGTGTCCCGGAGGGCCTGGTGCAGCTCATCCTTGATCACAGTTGTAATAGAGTTTACTGTAGGATGAGGTGTTACACCAGCCTTTTGTAACTCTTCACGTATTATACCACGGATGAGTTCACGTAGATAGTCGTTGTTGGTTCTAGTGGCGGTGAAAATGTCGGCAGTAGACATGCCATTGACTTGCCTGTTGTATTGGTTGGATCGCTGCTGCAGCATTTTTTCCATTGTCACGGCCTCGGACAAGAACTCCGCGACCGTCTTCGGAGGGCTGCGCACGAGGCCGGCAAAAAGCTGGTCCTTGACACCGCGCATCAAGTGACGCAACTTCTTGTCCTCCGTCATTCTTGAATCGGCCCGTCGGAAGAGGCGCGTCATGTCTTCGACGAACGTGGTCACAGTTTCGTTTGGCAGCTGGACGCGGGCCAGAATAGCTCGTTCAGCTCGTTCTTGGCGATCAGCACTGGCATACGTCTGCAGAAGTCTACGAGAGAATTCGGGCCACGTCGTCAGCTGTTCCTCTCGGTTTTGATACCACGTACGTGCCCCGTCTTCGAGATAGAAGTAGACACGACCCAGTTTCGCCGCGTCGTCCCACTGATTCAAGGCGGCTACGCGCTCGAAATCCGCCAACCAGTCCTCAACGTCTTCGTGCTCCGAGCCATGGAACGTCGCCAGTGCGCGTGGGCTTTCCAACGTGTAGCGGTTCGACGTCGTGCTTCCCGTGCCGGTCGCCGAGGTTTGCACCGAAGCGCTGGTCATGTTTGTCGACGTGGTGGGAGCAGTATCGTCAGCTTCCGGAGGCAATCCCCTGATTCGGCGGCTGGTCCGATGCACGGGAGTATTGACTGGCACTGGACTCGTATCGCGGCTTCCTGGGGGGGTCTGTAGCATCCGTGAGACTACCCAGCACTTCCACCAGTTGTCACGATGAGTCACAAGTACTGGGGGATTTAATAAAGCACCAGGTAGCTAGCACTAGGACGATGCGTCAGTCGTGGCTGGCTCTCGAGCAAAGAAGAACGCGATCTTCTTTTTTCCTCCATATTTAGAGCCGCTCTTGCTGTCAACCCACTACGTGCTGGCGGCAATATGTTGCCAGACAGCGTTTCACTGTCGGCTAGACACCGCTATATAAGACGAGGGGCGACTTAGCTTATTATTTTATTGAAAAAATCTCGACTTATATTCCGGTTTATACGGTACCTTGGCTGAAAAAGATGCCACGAAATTGAAGCTGACCTGTAGTAAGATAAGCTCTGGGTGTGGTTAAAAAAGACAAAGTCAGAAAAGAGACATTTTCAAACATTAGACTCGCTTGCCGAAGAGATTCATTTGCTCAGTGCTGTGATGTTCGTGGTTAGCAAGCATGCATATTTCAAATGCTAATGATTACTTTGGAAAATAGTATCTTCTAATCCAAGACACTAATGGAATTTGTAGCCGCAGAAAACGGAAGACAGCTTGTTTGCAAATGCTAGATTTGCATTACCTCTTCCTTGTGGTTAACAATAATTCGGTGAAATCTTTATGCAGGAACACACACTGCATTGATGTTGAGATTAGCTCCAGCTCGCTACAAAAAGCAGTGCACATATGAAATAACTGCAACAGCGGTAAAGCTAGTCACCCCGAAAAAATCATTTCAGCTTCATTTGCATGGTGACCATCTTTTAGGTTGTTTATTATAACTTAATTAGCACCCTCTAATCAATCTGTTCACGAGTTATAAAATCCCATTAAACTTAGGCATTGCTAAAAAATGACTACGAAGTATTAGTGACATACCAGTTTTAATTAGCAATTCCTTTAAAAAGTTTAAACTTTACTGCTAATATTCATGCAGGTCCGGCAAAGCAGTGTCATGGGTGCAGAGTGAAAAAAGTTTGCAGCCTGATTAAAGGGGGCTAAAATCAAGAAGGCTAAATAAAACGAGTTTGCGTAGCCAGGGGGAGAGGAGGGTGGCTTGTGGTTTAAAAGCTTTGTAATGTCCATTTACACGTACACAAGCACACTCGCGATGCTATAACCAATATACAAATCAACAGACGCAGCGGCCAATGCCGGAGTAAAGAAAGTAAAGCATCATTGTGCATATCTCTCCTGCTAGCAAGGGAAGCATATTTACACAGAGTGACAGCAGAAGCTGTTCTTGAGGTACCTGAATATACAAAACAGCCGTGCTTGGGAACCTGACCAGCGCAAGCTGTGGTATTCACGTGCCATGTATGTATACGCCTTGCCTCATCTGGGTGCTTTAGTTGATTGAAGAGCACTTTTTAATAACACCATGCAAGTACTTAAAGAACCGGAACACCAACTGCCACATAACGTACTCGCTCAAAACGCAGTCGCCGTTCCTGGGTGTTTCAAGCATGATTTCAAGTTGTTGCGTTGGCTAGTGGGGGGTGTGAGTCGCAGCATCCTCTTGCAACATTTTCATTAATCACCTGAACACATAGTTACACAGAGTGCGCTCACGTGCTGCCATAGACAGAATCAATATGAGCAACTCACACATTTGACACAGCACAACATTGTGCTGTGCATGCACATGCCACAAACAAAGCTCCTCGGCTACATGTCAACCAGGAGAAGTTTCCACAAACCGAAAAAGTGAAACTGGATATCAAAGATGAGCATGCCTAGGTAGCAATCTTGGTGCGATCGAGGCATATCTACAAAATCCATCTGAAAGCCAGAAAAGCTGCATCACAGAAGGAAATTAACTGCGACAAGAATAAATTTCCTGTTTCAAGAAGGCGTACAGTAGCTGTCTCACTTTCTTTTATCTATTTTTTTTAATCATTAACTTAGGGGCATATAGGTAAGTTTTTCTTTTGCTCCCATAAATATCTGGTGGGAGTTATATTGGAGTAAAGGTTCTTTTTATATTCTCGGAAAATATTTGAATGGATGTCATATAATGTGCGATTAATGTAAAATTTTGACATATAATCAAGATTTTAAATACCATGTCATTTCTGTGAGGGTTTTGCCCGGATCAAAGTGAGCCATCATAAAAATGTAAGTAAAGGTTCTTTTTATATTCTTGGAAAATATTTGAATGGATGTCATATAGTGTGCGATTAATGTAAAATTTTGACATATAATCAAGATTTTAAATACCATGTCATTTCTGTGAGGGTTTTGCCCAGATCAAAGTGAGCCATCATAAAAATGCGGGTTATTAGAGGACGTATAATGAAGGTTCCACTCCATTTTGTTTCAGATTACATGTTACAAGAAAATGTAAAAGAGAGCATAATGTTTCGATCAAGGGTAATCTCTTGGCACATTTACCTGTGCACTGTGGTACGTGTGGATGTGAGGCAATATTTACTGATACGACCATTCTAAATAGAAGCCAGGAGGTGAGTGAGTGAGAGATGCTAGAAGCGTACCTCATCAGAAAAAAAAGAAAAAATATCTGTATTAGTGATCTGTCAGTTGTACCACTACCTTCACCTGAATTTGATTTTTTCGACAGCTTTTTGAACTAGCACGTGCTTTAAGTGTGCCATTCTGCGATATGGCATATTGTGTGTTAGTGTGCATGTGTGCAATGGTGCATATATTGCGGTGGTTTTGCAAGATTAAAGTTATTGCTCTATCCTTTTGCCTATTCTTTCGCAGTGGGTTGTGTCATCTGATTTACTTGTAACATGCACCAACTAGCCCAACAGTAAGCTATACCAATGCTACAGGATAGAACGGTGGGCTAGTTGGTAGTTTATAACCATTCAGTGAACTGAGAGCGCAGGGCAACACACAAACGAAGCAAAGATGGATACATCGCTCGTGCCGTATATCTCTTTGTTTCTTGTGTGTGCTCCCCCGCGCTCCCAGTTCACTGCATTTACTAATGCTTCAAATAAATTGTTTTAGAAATCTACGGCTGTTTTGTAAATGCTTTCCTTGCTGTTCGACAACTCTTTGAATGGTATTTGATTTGTGTTCAATTTGTTCAACTATGTGTACTCCTACAGCTAACTCAAGGAGAAATGGAATGCCTGAACACAATAGTATTTCATCTCAAGTCTCACGAAGGCATCAGCTATTGCTTATCTTTTTTGCAATAAAGGCCTTTTGTCCATGCTAACGAACATGGGCAAAAGAAGAGGGAAGAAGAATGGACGTCAAATCAGCTCACCACTCATTCTCCTGGCACCACAAAGAGAGAACACATGGGGCGAAGCTAGCTTTACATCATCAGACGCGTTAGCTCAGAGAATAAAACTGCAACATCTCAACTAAATTTTTACCTCTGAATTGCTTAGGAGCCTCCCAAGTGGAGATGTATGCAAGTGAAATGATAAATCACAGACTGTATATCAGAAACAGCTACATCAGCACTGTCATGATGTGGTCCCTTACGGGTAAGAGACTGCCATGCCATGCTTCCCAATCTTACCTAGTAAGATTGGGAAGCATGGCATGGCCACATGCTGAAGCATTTCATTACACTGGGCAACTATGCCCGTCCCACTGCAAGCGTGCCACAAAGTTTATTATGAATCGTTGATGCCTAGTGCGTCCCATTTGTAGTTGTCTGCCAAGAGCCATAACTACCACTTGTACATACCAATCGTGAAAACCCTGCTGTTATATCTCTGCACTTTTGCTTACTATATGGCACTTTGAAGTTGAACTGTTTTGCTGCTGCAGTAGGATGCTTGGTATTGCAGTGGTGACTCATACTTGTACAGCAAGTGAACTTAAACTGTAATGGGAACAATGAAACGCAAACACACTTTCAAGCTTACAATCGATCGCATGGGAGGAAAGTCCTAAAAACAAAGAGGCAGGCACTTGCCTGGTTGCTACAGACGTGGACAAAGTCGGTGCAGGTTGCTGCTCTGCAGCCGAGTTCTTCGACACCTTGCGGGGAATGATGTCATCAAAAGGGTTTACCAGAACCTGTACACAATATTCACAACTAAGAGCAACTGCAAAAGACAAACAGTATGAATGGTCAGAAAGTAACAGCAGCTAAAGAAGAAAATATTTTTGCTGGTGGAGTCCTTGAGCAACCACTTGGGCTTTGCAAATCACAATCGGCCCAAATGAGGGCAGAATTCATGAGGCAGTTCAAGAAATAAGGTCCCACTTTTGCTCTATGCTTGAATTCAGTTGCACAGTGGAAGACACAACATGGACAACATAGAAGCACACACGAGCAGTGTCGTAACTTGAGTTGTAAGGGTCGACTCGAGAGCGACTGGTTTGGCTGGAAGTTCTGCCAACATCATCAATGATACCTGCCCACTTAGTCCACTCTGCAAATGTATATTTTACTTTGCCTTCACTAACTCATAAACAGTGGTACCTCTGAAATCACATGCTTCATCAAGCATTGTGTCAATGGCACCTACATGAAACGTGCACTGCACGTTTCATGTAGGTGCTGCTGCAGTGGGGGAGTGAACGAAAGCTTCTGGCATGCTCTGTGCAGCAGCCCACCTACAAGCAGGGAGCCATGTAGGGTTGTTAGCAATGCTCTGCAATGTCACATATGAATTGCTGTACCATAAACTATGCCAAAAATTATACAAACCATGCTCGTGGAACAATGTTTTTCAGTTTTCCATCATGACCATGCTTCAGAAACAGGCAAGATTTCTGGGTTAGTGTATGCAACGTAGAGCAGGTGACCCTACGGACACAACTATGAAGTATGTGCTGTTGTAGCTAGAGTTTGCTGTGTGTCGAAACAGAGACGAGACTGACACACGTGTTGCCCTGGATGAACACTTCATTTTTTAAAGACAATAGTCTTTCTTGGGGACCTTCAACGCCAAAATTTTGGTCTGTCTTTCTGTCTGTCTGTGTATTTGTCTGTTTGTCTGCCGTAACGATACTCTGCCACTAATATTGCTCAAGTTTCAGTGTTCATACTTGTGCGACTGTCAATCAAAAAGCAATTATTCCGCATATCTGAGGCACGATAACAACACGTTATTTTTTTTTATATGTGTTCTAATACTAGAGAAGGCACACATAAGTATTTCTAAGGACCGTGGCGTTTATCACGCTACGCTGACAGGGCAACGCGATGCCCAAAAAGGCAAGTGTTTCCAATGCTTTGCTAAGACGGCACGGTGGTGGCACGTGCCCGTCGCTTTGCATTCTACACCTTATCGCCTCCGAGACAGGCACGCATCTTTCTCCGGGGGGGCGCACGCCTTCCCTTGTTTTCGAAGATAACTGCCAGATAGCGCTCGTGTTTAACGTGCCTCGATGCGCTCGTTCACCTTCGCAGCATGGATCGAGACTCCAACGCAGAGCTTCCAGAATACAATTCACCGATGTTTTTCGAGCAGAGCATCAAATAAATGTTTTATTCACTCTCTCTACACGCAAGACCATCGTATTTCGACGACATTTACAGTGAAACATTCAGATACGGGGCTAACTTATTTTTGTTTGCATGCTCACTCATAGTCCTGCCCTGCTGTCACTTCTTTGGGCGTCTTGTGTGCAGCATGGCGTTTTCCACCAATTTATTATCACAACAGACTAAACATCCTCCTGGAGCAACAGCATAGTTGCCTGCCTCAAACGTATACAACTGTTGAGTGGCGCGACAAACATGCTGGCCATTCGGGAACGTGATCTTGAAGTACCTCTCAAGGCTGTCTCTAACCAGAAATGACTTCACCACTCTGTCGAGCTTCCACTGTAGCGCTAGAACGCTGTCGTCCTTAACAATCACCAAGTCACCGACGCGCAGCTGTGACGAAAACGGCGGCTGCTAGAGATGGGCACAGTGCAGGGAAGTAAATAGTACTTCTGCCACTGTGTCCACCGTCAGTGCAGAAGCTCATCTCTGTATTTAACCCTCTTTTGCATGATATGCGTGGTGAAACTACACAAATTTCCGCTTGTCTTTGCTGGTAGTCCCACAACACGCTAGCTGATTAAAAAACGAGATGGCATTAGTCCTTCTGCATCCTCGATGTTCTCAACGAGTTGGGTCAGAGGGTGGCAGCTGACGATTACTACCACCTCAACCAGCACAGTGAGCAGCTCTTCGTAACCGAGGCTGCTTTGACCAAGGCGGTGCTTGAGTGTACCCTTAACTGTACAGATGACTTGCTGCCAGAAACCTTCCCACCACAAAGCTAGTTTAGTGATGAACTTCCAATTGATTTGGTGGGCACTTGCATGGGTTTGTATGGTCTCACTAGACAGCAATCACAGTTGTTTGAAACGGCTGCGAAAGGTGCTGGCGTTGTCCAAATAAATGGTGCATAGAACGCTCCGCCTAGACGTATATCAGCGAAAGGCATGAATGTGAACTGTCATGTCCGAGATTAATTCTAGGTGCACCATCCGTGTCCCTGCCAGAAGAAAATTGTAGTATGAAGTTTCGTCGACGGTTGAGGTAAAACAGTACTACAGTGGAGTGGGTCGCGGAAGTATACTCCCGTAACGTCGAACAATAATAATACCAAAGTTATGCAGTCTTTCAGCAAGCGCACAGATGGGACCATTGCTGGAAGGAAATGGCGGCGATGGCATGGCAGGCACGACTGAAGCACCCTTTTAACGGTTCGTTTGTCCTTCGAAATCCAAAACCTTAATCAGAATTCCAGAAGTGTATCTTCAACCCCAGCATGTAGAAGACAGACAAATGTCACAGATTTAAAGAGCCTCGTAAACACGAGGTCATTTGGTAATAAGTTTGGGATTTAAGCTCCTTTGTTCCATCACGTTCCTGTAAGCGGCCTGCAACTCTGAGCAACCAATCCTAATCAATACGCAGGGTCAGAACACTGGAACCTCATGGCAAAGGCTGGCCCGTGGAACATGTAGCAACCTTTGCTGGGAACGTGGTTTTCTGTACAAACTTGAGCCAGTATTGCTCAGTGTTGTCTATTTCCAAAAATGTCAGCGGCACAGACAAGAATGGCTGGTTTCGGGAGACATTGAAAACAAACCTCGATGATGATGATTTGTAGTATTTTAAGGCACAAGGGCCATTTGATGGCCAAAGAGCACCAGGCCATTGGTGAGGTGACGTGAACAATGATAGTGGTAGGTGGCTGTATAAAGGCCTGAAAATTACTAGCACTGAGCACTTAGCGTCGACTTGCCCCCCCCCCCCTCACGAGTTGGTTCGAATCCATGGTGACGCCACTTACCAAACGCATGCTTGTGCAGGTTCCCTTGCGGAAACAAACCTTGAAATCCAGGCAGTTACCTAGAGGAACCTGGAGAGGGAGCTGCACTTTTGTAGGTCTAGTAGTGAATCGTTGGATGTAAGGCACACGGTGAGACTGCGGTTGGGCAGACAACTGCTAGTTCACTGTTCAGGTCAACGCAGGGCAAGGATTCAAAGGCCAGATGCCTTCTCGTTCGGCCAACCAAAAAGGTCTAGTCTAGCACTTGGTTTCTCGTATTATAACTGCTGCTGACACATGAAAAGATGTGCTTGATTGTCTGCGTTCATGCAATGCCGCCAAATGTAGCCTTGAGTAAATGCTGAATCTCTTGCACAGACTTCCTTACCAAAGTCTCCAATCGTCGAGCATCACCAGCAACTGATTGTAGTGCGGTCGTTGAACCCATCCAGAAGGAGGCAACACAGGATGAGAACATTTTGTGGAATGTAATGCCATAACCTCACCACTAGAAGACACACAAGAAGCTCTAAACATGAGAGAGAGATTGCATTGAGTGGTGCAAATCGAGATTTGCTTGTGAGGCTTCGCACTAACAAGCACGTGTGAGGCTTCGCAATCATTTGCCACATTATAGACACTAAAGTGAAACAATAGGTCGGCTCATTGACAAATTCTGCTCTTAAAACTCTAATGACATTAATTTTACCATCATATGTTTACTAATAAATCAGAAAACCAAGGTAAAGCTTTGAATAACAGGGCCAAGCTAGTTGGTAAGTATATTCATGTTTAATTACGAGTGGCTTGGCTGCTCTCTTGTGTCTGTGTTTGCACCCCCTATCTCTTAAACATCAAACTAAAAGTCCTATTCTTTAAATTTTATGCCAAATTATCTGCACGTCATGTCACGGGTTTCATAGAGTATTTTTGTATTTTGGTGACATTAGCTGAACAAAATTTCTAAAAAATTGATATGCACGTCTACGGCCCCCTAAGTGGACAATGCACTTAATTTTGACTAATTAGAGACTACGTGTAGCCTAGTAGATGCTATCAGAATCTGTGACTTCATGGCATTTGGTGTCGTATTTTGAAGGTAGTTCCGCTACACATATTGTCTCTTTGTGTGCTTTCTTGCTTGCAAAGTAGCTTCTTGTGGTAAAAGCGGTGTTTTCAGTTTTGTGAAATATTAGTTTAGTGATACACAAAAAATCCCATTTTTGATTTGTGTCCCTTCCAAGCAAACATGCTTTTGTTAGTTGGGTAGCCACAGTAGGACTGCCCCAAAAGTTTGTCGTTTGCTTCCGTTTTCATCTTCACTGCTTTGACCGCACAATAGACCTTAGCTTCACCCGACTACTACTGGCGAAAGTGAACAAAGTGCTCTCACGGTGTCTTATAGAAAAATTTCCAAGGGTGAAAATTTTCTCTGAACAACCACAGAATCTCTATTCGCGAACTTCACAAAAGTTTGGCCCCGCAGAAATGTATGGACTTCAACAGGCATCTTTGGTCAATATCGCATCATCGTAACCAAAAACCTAATTACAATAGAGTTGCAGTAATAGTAAGTGCACCACATGAGAAGTGCTCTCTTCAAGTCTGCCGTGGACAAGCACATGCAATCCAGTGCAAGGCAACCATTGAAAATCATTGACAATCAAAGAGAAGAGATATTTATACAGAACACTCCCATCCCTGCTGTAAAAACCGGGTCTTATTCTTATGCTGTCTGAATCAAAATGTCAGCTTACAACCAACCTGTGTGGAGACAATTCTGTGTGGATGCAGTGGCCGGTCTTCCGAGTCTACCAGGCCTTCCTCAAGACGCAGCATGTTGTACAGCGTTTCGCCAACCACCTGGGAATAGCATGGATCAGGGGATCCCAGCAGATGATTTCTTTAACAAAAGAAATGATGCTAAACCACCTGAAATTATTTTCCCTACAGGTACATACGTCTCTGCAAGCTTCTTTCAATTGTTTCTACTTGGTCCAGCCAGTGGTTGCCAGATTTTGTAAAGTCGTTACTGTAGCAGCTACGTTGACAGTGAGAGGCTGATAGGCGTGTGACTTTTTAAACACTTTGGATGACAGCCAGAACATGTAAAAGTGACTGAATGAGTGTCTACATTTCTACTTAAATTTTTTATGCCATACATAGCCAGAAGAAAAAATGTCTGGATTGTAATCAGTGTTGAAGCTTCTTAGGTATAGTGACACCAGAAAATGTCCAAACACAAATGATGTGTGCGACATATTCATTAACTAAATGTGGCAATGCCCTACCCTAGAGCCATGCAATGAAGCAAGAAAAGTCCATGGTAGCAAAAAGCAGAAGAAAACGAAATGGACACAGAAGCGGAAGAGATAAAAATGAACACCAACTTTCCACCGAGATTTTTTTATTGAGAAGAGAAACGTATATACATGCAGCAGCCTACGTTCGGTGCATGTGCAAAGGAAAGATTTTTCATGCCTTTTCTTGCTCAAGAGCCAGGCACCCTACCACAGCAAATGCTTCTTGTTATAGCAAGATACCAAATTCCTTATTCACGTAGCCTCATCAATGCTCTGCTCTGACTCTGCTTGCGACAGTTTAGATATGTGTGCAGCTTCTGCAAGTTCTCGTCCTTTCTCGTTTCTGTGTTTTAACAAAATGGAAGTGGCAATAAAAATGAGCATGTGCCCACACTGGCGGCAACGCGGTGACAAGTGTGAACTTGCCGGACCTTTTAAGGAATTGTGGTGCTCCCTTCACTGCATATTAAGGCACCACCCACATATACATGGCTCCACGACAAAAGTTTTGAATAAACAACGTTGAAGCAGCAAGATACGTAGCTATAGGCATGATTTACATTGGCAACCCAAACCTTGAAACGATCCTCTTATTTTTTATGTGGTGATGTTTTCTCAGCGCCATGGTTAACCAAGGTCATAACATCACACCATTTTGATCGCAGCACCATAAAGCCATCACAAGCATTGCTTCTACTTTATAAGTTGTGCGGCATTGTCTGACGACATGTACGGTAGGCATAGTGAGGACTAAGTCACCCAAGCACCCCATCAAACATAACCTGGCGCGACCAGTAAGAAAAACAATGGGACGCTGTGCTAAGCGAGCAGCGGCAACACGTGACAAAGCTCAGATGTACTTGAACTGAGCAGATCACTCGCTCTACTTCCACAGCATACACAGCTCGTAGTGCAAGAATCGCTTGTGTTGTGTTTTCCTTTCTAGACTTTTTTTAAATCTGTCATTGCGAAGCAAAACAAAGCTAATGCTCTGTTTATAACTTCTCTGACCATGACGTTTCAGGGGTATCACACGTTAGTGCCTATGGCAGCCATTACTGCCGCTTGGTCGCTTAAAGAGAGACTAAAGGCAACTATTCAGTCGACGTTGATGTTGAAATAATGGTCCAGAAACCTCTAAATGTTACTTTTGTGCCAAAGAAGTGCTTATTTTGAAAATTAAATCACCTTTTAGTGGTCTGCATTGGATTATAGCACTTCAAATTACCCGCCAGACAGTCTCACGTCACTGTTTCTGTGTACAATGTTGCCCAGCTTTACTGCGCAGCCGCCGACACTAGTAGCAGCAGAACAAAAGCAGTGCGAGCCACAGCAGAAACAACAGCTGCCATTGGCTCCGAGATGGCAGACGTGTTTTGGTTCAACTGGGCCCCGCCGCGGTGGTCTAGTGGCTAAGGTACTCAGCTGCTGACCCGCAGGGCGCGGGTTCGAATTCCGGCAGCGGCGGCTGCATTTCCGATGGAGGCAGAAATGTTGTAGGCCCGTGTGCTCAGATTTGGGTGCACGTTAAAGAACCCTAGGTGGTCTAAATTTCCAGAGCCCTCCACTACGGCGTCTCTCATAATCATATAGTGGTTTTGGGACGTTAAACCCCACATATCAATCAATCATTGGTTCAACTGGGCCCCGCTAGATGGCACGACCTGTCCAGTGTAACCAGGCGAAAAATGAATTTAACTAGTCGCGCCTCTTCCCATAGTTACGGCCGGCTGTTTCTTTTTTCCATTAATTAAAACCGAAACAAACAAGCAGCATTTTATTACGTCTCTGATGCACGGAAAATTATTTATTTAGTATGGCTAGGTAAATTACTAGTGATTAATTGTAGGCAGTTCATCTGATGTCGTCGAGATCATTTTGAGAATGTCCTCTCGTAGCGCATGTGTTGATGAGCATTTAATCTAATTTTTCGGTAAGTAGCGCACTGCTGTTGACAATATTGTCACTTCAGAGGTTGTCGTACATTGAGCTTTCACTCTCACGTAAATTGTTATTTGACTTTATTGTCCCTTTAAGAGCCTAAAAAAACTGTGATTTCAAACGGTGTCATAATTATATTGCTGGATATTGCGCCCAAATATTTAGGGAACGGCATTCCCAATTCTTATTGAAGCGGGAAAAACTGCTATTGGGCAGCTTAAATTAAGACACTTAGAAAAGACAAATATTGAGAAAAGGCCGCTGAAATGAACCTGAGCTTCTTCAAGAAATATGCAGAAAATTTGCTGCAATTTTATACATACACTGTCTCGCTCACAAACTTTAAAATGTGGCTCATCACTGAAACGTTTCAGAGAAGTTATAAACAGAGCTTTAGCTTTGTTTTGCTTCGCAATGACAGATTTAAAAAAGCCCTAGAAAGGAAAACACGACACAGCGATTCTTGCACTACGAGCTGTGTATGCTGTGGAAGTAGAGCGAGTGATCTGCTCAGTTCAAGTACATCTGAGCTTTGTCACGTGTTGCCGCTGCTCGCTTAGCACAGCGGTCCCATTGTTTTTCCCTTACTGGTCGCGCCAGGTTATGTTTGCTGGGGATGCTTTGGGTGACTTAGTCCCTCACTATGCCTACCGTGCATGTCGTCAGACAATGCCGCACAACTGTATAAAGTGGAAGCAATGCTTGTGATGGCTTTATGGTGCTGCGATCAAAATGGTGTGATGTTTAGAACCTTGGTTAACCATGGCGCTGAGAAAACATCACCACATAAAAATAAGAGGATCGCTTCAAGGTTTGGTTGCAATGTAAATCATGCCTATAGCTACGTATCTTGCTGATTCAACGTTGTTTATTCATACTTTTGTCGTGGCACTGTGCATACGTGGGTGGTGCCTTAATGTGCAGTGAAGGGAGCACCACAATTCCTTAAAAGGTCCGGCAAGTTCCACTTGTCACCACATTGCCGCCAGTGTGGGCAAATGCTCATATTTAGCGCCACTTCCATTTTGTTCAAACACAGAACGAGAAAGACAAGAACTTGCAGAGGCTGCACACATATCTAAACTGTTGCAAGCAGAGTCAGGAGCAGAGCATTAGTGAGGCTACGGATTAGGAAGGTATGTTGTTTGTATTTTTGTATTAACAAGAAGCCTTCGCTATGGTAGTGTGACTGGGTGTCAGCAACAAAGGGCATGAAAAAATCTTTCGCTTGTGATGCACCGTACGTAGGGCTGCTGTATGTATATATGTTTCTCTTCTTGTTTTGAAGCAAGATCAAACGCATACATCATATTGGGAAGCCACATTTAAAGTTTGTGAGCGAGACAGTGTATGTATAAATTGCAGCAAATTTTCTGCATTTTCTTGAAGAAGCTCAGGTCATTTCAGCGGCCTTTTCTCAATATTTGTCTTTTCTAAGTGTCTTAATTTAAGCTGCCCAATAGCAGTTTTCCCGCTTCAATAGAATTGGGAATGCCGTTCCCTAAATATTTTGGCGCAATATCCAGCTATAATTAATGACACCGTTTGAAATCACAGTTTTTTTTAGGCTCTTAAAGGGACAATAAAGTCAAAAACAATTTACGTGAGAGTGAAAGCTCAATGTACGACAACCTCTGAAGTGACATATTGTCAACAGCAGTGCGCTACTTACCGAAAAATTAGATTAAATGCTCATCAACACATGCGCTACGAGAGGACATTCTCAAAATGATCTCGACGACATCAATGAACTGCCTACAATTAATCACTAGTAATTTAACTAGCCATACTAAATAAATAATTTTTCGTGCATCAGAGACGTAATAAAATGCTGCTGTTTGTTTCCGTTTGATTCATGAAAAAAAGAACAGCCGAACGTAACTATGGGAAGTGGCGCGACTAGTTAAATTCATCTTTCGTTTGGTTACACTGGACAGGTCATGCCATCTAGCGGGGCCCAGTTGAACCAAAACACGTCTGCCTTCTCTGGGAATCCAGTCAGTTACCCTTAATGACCAGCGGTTATCATGTCTACGCGCTACATGCCCTGCCCATGTCCATTTCTTCTTCTTGATTTCAGCTATGATATCCTTAACCCCCATTTGTTCCCTAATCCACTCTGCTCTCTTCTTGTCTCTTAAGGTTACACCTACCATTTTTCTTTCCATTGCTCGCTGCGTCGTCCTCAATTTAAGCTGAACCCTCTTTGTAAGTCTCCAGGTTTCTGCTCCGTAGCTAAGTACCGGCAAGATACAGCTGTTATATACCTTCCTCTTGAGGGATAGTGGCAATCTACCTGTCATAATTTGAGAGTGCTTGCCGAATGTGCTCCACCCCATTCTTATTCTTCTAGTTACTTCAATCTCGTGGTTCGGCTCTGCGGTTATTACCTGCCCTAAGTAGACATAGTCTTTTACAACTTCAAGTGCACTGTTACCTATCTCGAAGCGCTGCTTCTTGCCGTGGTTGTTGTACATTACTTTCGTTTTCTGCAGATTAATTTTAAGACCCACCTTTCTGCTCTCCTTGTCTAACTCCGTAATCATGAGTTTCGATTCGTCCCCCGAGTTACTCAGCAATGCAATGTCATCGGCGAAGCGCAGGTTACTAAGGTATTCTCCATTGACTCTTATCCCTAACTGTTCCCATTCTAGGCTTCTGAAAACCTCCTGTAAGCACGCGGTAAATAGCACTGGGGAAATTGTGTCCCGCTGCCTTACACCCTTCTTGATTCGTATTCTGTTGCTTTCTTTATGAAGCACTATGGTAGCAGTTGATCCCCTGTAGATTTCTTCCAGAATGTTTATATATACTTCATCTACGCCCTGATTCCGCAGTGTTTGCATGACGGCTGATATTTCTACTGAATCAAACGCCTTCTCGTAATCTATGAAGGCTATGTATAGTGGTTGGTTATACTCTGAGCATTTCTCTATTACCTGATTGATAGTATGAATGTGGTCAATTGTTGAGTAGCCTGTTCGAAATCCTGCTGTTCCTTTGGTTGATTGAATTCTAATGTTTTCTTTACTCTGTTAGCAATTACCTTTGTAAATAGCTTGTACACTACAGAGAGCAAGCTGATCGGCCTGTAATTCTTCAAGTCCTTGTCATCTCCTTTCTTATGTATTAAGATGATGTTAGCGTTCTTCCAAGACTCTGGTACTCTTCCCGTCAGGAGACACCTCGTAAACAGGGTGGCTAGTTTTTCTAACACAATCTGCCCTCCATCTTTCAGCAGATCTGATGTTACCTGATCCTCACCAGCAGCTTTGCCCCTTTGCATGCTCTCCAAAGCTTTTCTGACTTCTTCTATCATTACTGGTGGGGTGTAATCTGGGTTACTGCTTCTTATGATATTAGGGTCGTGGTTGTCTCGGCTACTGTACAGATCTCTGTAAAACTCCTCCGCTATTTGAACTATCCTATCCATATTGGTAGTTATTTTGCCTTCTTTGTCCTTAGTGCATACATCCAACGTTTGCCTATCCCAAGTTTCCTCTTCAATGCTTTCACACTTCCTCCGTTTTTCAGAGCGTGTTCAATTCTCTCCATGTTATACCTTCTTACATCGCATACCTTACGTCTATTAATCAACTTCGAAAGCTCTGCCAGTTCTATTTTGTCTGTTGTACTTGACACTTTCATAATTTGACGCTTCTAAATTAGGTTCTTCGTTTCCTGGGAAAGTTTGCCAGTGTCCTGTCTAACTACCCTGCCTCCAACTTCCACTGCACACTCCGTAATGATACTCGTCAGATCATCATTCATTGTATCTACGCTAAGGTTGGTTTCCTCACTAAGAGCAGAGTACCTGTTCTGCAGCGACACTCTGAATTCCTGTACTTTCCCTCTCAGTGCTAGCTGATTGATTGGCTTCTTGCGTATCATTTTATGTCGTTCCTTCTTCAAGTCTAGGCGAATTCGAGACCGTAACAGTCTATGGTCACTGCATCGTACCTTGCCAATCACTTCCACATCCTGCACGATTCCAGGGGTGTGCACTCATTATAAGTCTATTTCGTTCTTATTTTCGCCATTAGGGCTCCTCCATGTCCACTTGCGGTTTTCTCGTTTTCGGTAGAAGGGTATTCAGAATCCGTAAATTTTGCGTTCTGCGAATTCTACTAGTAGCTCTCCTCTGGCGTTTCTATACCGATGCCATATCTCCTACTGCCTGGTCTCCAGCCTGCTTCTTCCCTACCTTTGCATTAAGTCGCCCATCACTATAGTATACTGGTGTTTTTAACTTACTCATTGCCGATTCCACGTCTTCATAGAAGCTTTCAACTGAAGCGTCATCATGGCTGGATGTAGGCGCCGTAAGCCTGTACTACCTTCATCTTGTATCTCTTATTCAGTTTAATTAACGATACCTACCACCCTTTCATTAATGCTATAGTATTCCTCTATGTTGCCAGCTTTGTTTTCTGTGAATTAGAAACCCACTCCCAGTTCTCTTCTGTCTGCCAGAGCCCCTGTAGCAAAGGACGTGCCCATTCTGTAGCACCGTATAGGCCTCGTCTGTCCTCCTAACCTCACTGAGCCCTATTATATCCCATTTAACACCTCTAGCTCCTCGAATAGTACAGCTAGACTTGCCTCACTAGATAAGGTTCTAGCGTTAAACGTTGCCAAGTTCAGGTTCCAATGGCGGCCTGTCCGGATCCAGAGATTCTTAGCACCCTCTGCTGCGTTGCAGATCTGACCGCCGCCGTGGTCAGTTGCTTCGCAGCTGCTGGGGACTGAGGGCCGTGAGTTATTTGACGTAAGCATGTGGGAGGTAGTGGCCAGATACTGCACCAGGGTGGCCAATCCTTCTCTGGTGAAAGTATGCGTTCTCGGCGGTGTTTGCCGGTGAGGCCGCACCCCAGGCCTCTTAATGCAGTTCCACCAACACGCGGATTTTTTTTTTAATCCGGTTGGGAAAATCGCGGTACCGGGATTTGAACCACGGACCTCTTGCATGCGAGGCGGATGCTCTAACCACTACGCCATCGCCGCTAAAAATAGGTTAACAAAGTGCAAGTTAAATACTTTTTCAGGGTGCACACACACACTTAGCGATACTTTTTCCGAAGTCTTGAGGGCTTCGCCTTTCATTTGGCACCAGAGAAGGATAAATGAAAATATTCATCTCCGTACCCCTGACACCTGGTGCGATGCAATTGGTGAGAAGCAATCGTCCTTGGATGAGAGCTTCCATGGTTTAGATGAGTGAGATAGCTCGAAAAAATAAAGTTTTGTGCTTGATTTTTCTTTTTCATTTTTCGGCTTCAAGGTAAAGGAGCTCACCAATATTGCGTATTATATGGCAGTTCCTGGAATTCTGTTTTGGGGAGTACTAACATTTCTTGACATTTAACTTGCTCTATCTATAGAAATGTTTTTATCCATTTTCTTTTGGGCAATGTTATCTACTGCTTTTACAGTAATGCAGGCAGTGCATTTTTCTCACTAAAATTCCGCTTTATTTAATACAACAGGTTTTCTCTCGCTGCAGCAATTGCTACACTATGTACCTTCCCAAAAATGGTGTGCTTGTTCTGCAAGTCAGGACAGGCGCCCAAGGTGAAAAGAACTGGCTGCCATTGTCGTCGGCCCCGCCCGATGCCATGGCCACCAGTCCACGACGAACAAAGCGCAGGCGGGAGTGGAACTCGTCCTGGGCAGACATTTGACAATCGTCTCTTGTGGCACGCACAAAGGGTAGAAAATTTGACTCAGAAAGAGGCGAGCCCTTGGAAAGAGACAAGGCAAGACGATGTGTTGACAAGTAGTTTGATCAGATGAAATCATTCTAGTAATGAAAAACCTCCTAGCTCATGCATGCAGGTGGAGACACCAAAAAACGTACAACCATGCCGATATACAATCGAGAGCTGCGCTCTGCTACATTGATGCCTGTGGCAATGCAGGCATCAAGGTAGCAAACCTTTCATGTACAAAACCTTTCCTGAGTGCACTACATAAGCTTTTCCCAAAGCGACATGTATTGACACCAGAAAGAAGTGCAACAACCTGTTTTCTTTGTTGGACACAATATTACTGGAACTAACAAACAATGATGCCAAGTAAAGTATAGGGCATTGTTAGTATTAACTATAATGTAAACGTCAAGAAAGCAAAAAAAGTGCACGAAGATATCACTTGCCACTGGCGGAGACCACTATTTGAAGTGATCAAAGCGAACGGCGGAATGACTGCTGTTGTAGCTCAATGGTCGAGCATTATTCGAAGCGATGTGCTGCTTCGAATAATGCTCGACCACCTGAGCTAAAACAGCAGTCATTCCTTTGTCCGCTTTATAGGGTATATATGTGCATATAAATGGTCCCTGGCAAACTCGATGACTTCAGGTAGTATGCAAGGGATTACTGGTCAATAGCCAGCTCGTAATAAGTTCATGTGCTACGTGGCCCCAAACAGTCCGATAAAGAGTGCTCCACACTCGCCATAAGGACAACAGGTGGCACTGATTGGCACTCCCCCGTTTAAATGCACATATATACCCTATAAAGTAAACAGAGGGACTACCACCACCATAGCTCAGTGTTAGAACATTGGGCACCTTATTCAAACGTCGTTGGTTGAGTGCCTGCCCATGGCAAGTTATTTTTGGTCAACTTTTATTTCTTCACATTTACATTACAAGTACAGTAGACTCCCTTTATGGCGAACTCTGTTGAGACAAATTCTTACTTAAGATGAACACACAGGAATGTTTGTTTGGTTTCTCGTAGACTCAACGCAAAAAAAATCTGCTTAAGACTGAACCACTTAACTGGCCTCTTCTGTCATGATGAACTCTCGCAGCGACCAACAACCACAGGAAGTCTGGGCAACAAACTTTATGGGCATATTCAGGCAAACTAGAGAAAGCAAAATGAAAAAAAAAAACTTCTTAGCACAAAGACTCAAAGCAAACCGAAATCGAATTGCTACATGGAGGGAGAAAGCGAGATGAGTGCAAAGGTCCACACATAAAGCTGGTAACTCCCTACGCCTAACCAGTAGGTGAAGAAAGAGTCAGCTTTAGCAGCAAGGAAAGCAACAAAATAAGTTCGTCCATTCGTATTCTAGTTGTGCAGTTCTCCAACAGGAGTACAGTAGAGAACAAAAGAGCACAAGAGCTTGGCTAGAGGAGGGAATGCAAGGGAAGGGGGCCGTAAAAAAAGCCAAATGAAAGTGAAAACAGGAACAAAGATTGTCTGTACGTTGTAATCACATGAAATGGAAACCACATATGCAGCACTAGCACTGCCATCAGGAGGAGTCAGATGCATTGTCATCGCTGCTACACAATGGCGCCTGAGCACTTGTGGTCAGTTTGCATAGGTTTTCATAGGGCCTGTGTGCGTTGTATGTGTTCCCAGAGAAACTGGGCACGGCGGTACCGTCAACATGCGGTTCCCGAATTGTCCCTTTGCCTACATTTTGCAGTTCGTCTTCGGCCTGCTGATCGGCTCAGGCGATGTGCGCCTCGGCACTGCCGGGGCTGCTGCGACTGCGCTGGACCAGCAAGCACGGAACAACCATGCATCGACGATGTCAACACCGATCTTGGACTATCAGCTGCATCAGCCCACCGGCACATGCACCTACTTACGTGCTGTAGAGTGCCACCCTGCGTCTGCACCGCCTGCCATATATCTGCTCCACGGGGGACCATCTGTCACTGGGCACGGCGGTACTGTCGACATGCGGGGTTCAAGTTTTCCCTTCACCTACATTTTGTAGGTGAGAAAGCAGTTTGGAAAATGCATCCGCTCGAGTGACCGTTTCTTGTTGGTATTGCTGTGCCAATGGCAGTGTAGTGCTGTGTATGAATTGTGCATGACATCTCTTAGGCAGCTACTGCTGATGGGTGGAGATATTGAAAACAACCCTGGTCCTGACTTGAAGGAAATCGCCACACAACTTACCGAAATAGCTTCGGACATTAAAGATATCAAAAAAAAGCGTCTAGCAGATATAGATTGCAAGCTTGATGTCACTGCGAAACTTGAAGCTGAAGTCCTTGCAAGCCAAGAACAAATAGATGGCATGAATAAAGTAATTAAAAGCCTCAAAGCGAGAATAGATGACCTAGAAAACCGCAGCAGGTCAAACCTAATCTACAGTTTATAGTATACCAGAAGCGGAAGGTGAAACTAGCGAAGCGCTTGCAGAGGTCGTAAACGAGGGAATCACAGAAACCCTTGAACTCGAACCTGTGGCCATCGAGCGCATACATCGCTTAGGAAGAAGAGGACCAAACAAGACGAGGCCAGTCATACCTAATTACTTGACGAAAGAAGTAAAAATGCTATACTCAAAAACGGTTTCAAGCTGAAAAATACGGATTATTCGATAGAAGAAGACTTCTCACGATAACTTAGATAAACCCGCAAGAAACTCTGGGACAGTGCTAAGCAAAACCATGAAAACAAAGACAAGGTGTCGTTAGTGTACAACAAGCTGTTCATTAATAACCGTGTTTACATCTGGGATGTCGAAAAGAATGACAAAGTTGAAATAAGAAAGCACGAAAAAATAGCTCAAAAAAGTACGAGAGCGTAGAAGAAAGAAAAAAGGATGCGTACTTGGCAAAACCAGCTCAAGAAAAAATAACTCTGCTATACATAAACGCTCGAAGTATCTTAAATAAGGTACAGCCATTTGAAAACTTATTGCTCGATCGTGAACCAGATATAGTAGCAATGACTGAAACATGGTTATCCCCGCCCGTCTCGAGTGATGAAATTACTCCCCCAAACTATGTACTCTTTCGGAAAGACAGGCAATCACGTGGTGGAGGCGTAGCCCTAGCTATAAAGAAATCAATCCCACTGGTCATTCTGCCAGAGGTAACTGATGCCGAGGCAGTTTTTTGTAAGATTAATGCAAATGGCACAAGCATGGTCGTTGGCGGTATCTAAGTCCCGCATGTGGCCATGAATGCATTATTGTGATACAAAAGTATTTGCAGCAGCATGCTCGAAACAGCCGCGTCATTCTCATGGGTGACTTTAACCTTCCAGACTTTAATTGGTCTACTATGCAGTACAAATCAAAGGCTTCAGAAACCCTTCTCGACATGATGTTAAACTTTAACCTTTGCCAAATCATGGAAAGCCCCACAAGAGAGCAAAGCGAGTGTCAGAGTATACTCGACCTCATTTTACTAAGTAGCAATTTTCTCTTAAAACAGGTGAAGATTGAGGTAATAAAAGGAATATCTGACCATAATATTCCGATGTGTATTTTACCTCTAGATTATAAAATATCAGTACAAACTGCTGCCCAAACTATAATCAATTTCGACAAAGCTGACGACGACCGCATACAAACCTATCTAGCTAATGAATACCAAGAGTTTTTGGCAGTGGCCTCAGATCCTTTCACTGATGTAAATGCTGTCTGGTTGCGCTTTAAAGACATAGTGTCACACTGTACAACAAATTTTGTTCTCATCAAACTGAAAAAGACATTAAAAGATAACCCCTGGGTTTCTCGTGAAGTAATACACGCAAAGCGCCAACGCAAAAAATTACGGAAAGTTAACAAGGCTGCCGGAAATGACTTAGCACCGCCAGACTTGCGCTTGCCGCAAAAAACTTTATACAAAAATCCAAGGAAGTCAAACAACACTATTCAATACTGTACTCCCTAGCTTTCTCAAAAGTAATCCAGAAAGATTTGGAACCACTTTCGCCGAAAGAACACGCTCACCACTCAACTATCGTCACTTGAAAAATTAGATAAAGCCAACAGATATAACCAGTTCTTTCATTCAGTTTTTACAAGAGATAGTGGCGTCATGCCGGAATCGGTTCCACGCGTGGTGTCTGTGATGGACCCTCTTGTTATCACAGACACTGGTATTCGTAATCTTTGGCTTGCTCTAAATACTAAGAAAGTGTGTGGTCCAGATAATATACCTAACCAATTTCTGAAAAATACGCAGAATGGTGTAGCAGATATCTCTGCAGTATTGTCCGTAAATCACTTTCAACATCAAGAACTACCAGAAGATTAGAAAATAGCTAAAATTATTCCATTTATAACTTGGGAGATAAATCCATTGAATCCAATTTCAGACCGATATCTTTAATGAGCATAGTATGCAAACTATTCGAGCAATAGTCTTAAAACATTTAGCAATTTTTTTCGAAAAACGAGGGGCATCCTGTCCCCCAACCAGCATGGATTTCGTAGGGGTTTATCAACCACGGCGCAGGCTGGACTGAGGTTATATACGATCTTGCACTAGGTATTTGACAATCACAGCCAAACGGACATAATCTTACTTGACTTTTCAAAAGCATTTGATTGCGTTTGCCACACCAAGCTAATCGTTAAACTACAAAACATTATCGGGGACGGAGAAATTGTTGCTTGGGTTCGTGAGTTTTTATCTAATAGGTCTCAGCTTGTTGTCGAAAACATTGCATCAAATATTGTACAGTCATGTCAGGAGTGCCCCCAGGGTTCCGTGCTTGGGGCCCTTGACTGTAAATAAAGTTATTCGCAGATGACGGTATCATTTATAGAGAAATTAGAAATGACCAAGAATCACTATTCGCTCAACAAATC